GATTATAAACCATTCGGGATCAATCCGAATAGAGAAGGTACAATCTTCTACAAGAGTATACAGCTGCGGGCGTACGCCGGTGACATCGATATCATTACCCATAAAACCCGCTCATTTAGTACCGTTTTCTCAAGGTTGGACAAAGAAGCGAAGTGAATGGTTCTGGTAGTGAAGAAGGCCAAGACCTGTAATCATCTTCTGTCAACAAACAAACAGTAGTCACATTCGCGACTTTGCTAGATAGGTTAGGGTAGGTTAGGTTCGGTTAAACTGTTATGCCAATAAGCCACGTATAGACCAGTTTTGGTTTTTTCCAATATCAGATATAGTTCAGTGACAAGATTTATGATCCTTAGCGCATTTGGCAACTGTGAATATTGCCGTCGATGAAATATGAGATATGCGACGACAAAGACTTAATTCCGCGGTTTAAGAAACAGTGCCTACGTTGGCTAGGTCATGTCGTCCATTTGGATGAAAACACTCCAGCTCTAGAAAAGGGTAGAAAAGGACCTGGCGAAAAGGAAGAACGACTTAAAGTTACTTTTTTATGAAATGATTTATTTTTGCTTTTCTTTTCAGCTTTTGAGCYTACTTGTTTTCTTTTTTTCTTACTTTGTAATTTGCATTTAGTCTTCGAACTTTAATTTTCGTTTAACATTTTGCCTTTCGGAGCAAAAACTATACAATTTGTATTTTATATTTAGATAAATTAAAAACTAATGTCAAAACTTTCAAAAATAAACTAGTAAAAAGTTTTACATACTGACACTAAACGGGACATAAATACAAATTCTTACAAAATAATTTGAATTATTACAAATAGTACAAGGAATAAACGTACATTTAATAAAATTTAAATTACAATTTTTTTAGGATTTATAACTAAATAGAAATTAAAAAGTAGAGAAATATTTGTTTTTGAACTGAATATGTTTGTGTGTACATATAGCGTTAGATCTGTTATATAATATAACTTGAACGGTATTTCTGAACATCGTGCGCCCTTCTAAGCCTAACCAAACCACGGTCTACCGCCGTGGTAGACATCATTACCGCCGCCGCCATCGCCACCGCCTACATGTTGCCCACCGGGATTCACATATTTTACCAGACTGCCTATCAACCAGCTGGACATCAGGTACATAAACACCACTACCATTATTACACAGAGGAACAAAAATTCATGATACTGCAAAGGCATTTTCTATTACTTAATTAAATTTTTTTTTATTCTTTTCTTAATTTGGTTTCGGCGAGGATGAACTGTTAAATGAAAAATATTGCAATATTTGAGCAACGGCACAACGCTACTTATATCAAGACAGTGTGGAGGACAGAGCTGCCAATTATTTCATAGATACGTGCACAGTAATGTGCAAAACAATATTTAAATTTGTGTAAAAAGAATGCAAACAAAAAATTCTTACTTTTTGCAACATTTTTTAAAAATAATTTTTCATATCAAAAAATGTTCAAAATGTAAAAAAAAAATGTTTTCAAACAATTATTTAAAAATAAAATATTAGCTTGTCAAAAAAGTCTTGCGGTATTTTTATTGAATTTTCAATTGTTCATAAAACTTTTTTTAATGACTCATGCCCAGCTCTTGACCGATGCTACGGCTGCTACTATGCCGGTCTCTTTCGACCAATTCAGCGGTTTTATCGTAATTTTCGACGACAGGCCTTCCGGAGCGTGTCGCAACTTCGACCACCTCTACACCAGAACAAAAATGTTGAAACCATCGTTGTGCGGTGGAATGAGAAACTGTATCGGGTCCATAAACTGCGCTAAATTTTATTGGCGGCTTGAGATGCATTTTTGCCTTTATCGTAGTAGTAAATACGCCGTATTTTCTCTTTATTTTGCTCCATGTGAAATGAGCGCGTGAAATGAGCTTTCCAAAAAGGTATCACATGACCAGATGCGATGAATAAAACTAGAACTACGCGCTCTCAGCGCCAACTAGCGAAAATACCGCAAGACTTTTTTGACAAACAATATAAATACTAAGTATTGGCTTTTGCAAAATTTTTTAAAAATATTTTTCCTAATCAAAAATGTTCAAAAAATTATTATTTTTTTTTTAATTTTTTGCAATAATTTATTAAAAAAAAGAATATTTTTATGCGTAACTAAAAAAAAAAGTTATGAAAAAGTTTTAAATCAAATTATTTTCTCAACTAAAAGAGTTCAAAAATTATTTAAATATAAAACACAAATTTAATTTTTAATTTTTCTGTCGCCATGAAGACTTAAAAATAGCAAGTGTAGAAGAAACTAAAAAAGAATTCAGTACTCGTTACTTTTCTCGGCGGAAGGCACCGATTGCCTTATATCGCTGTAGAGGAGCTATAAAAAAATATGTGAACTCTCATCAAAGGTAGTGTTTCGGCTCTATGAAAGCGGATACAAGTCAATAATCGCTTTGTCCAACTGTAATGGTCTTGTGGGTCAGTTGTTTTAGGAGTTTATATGTAGGTAACACAACCAAACGGCAATCTCAGCTATCCAAGTGAGATCCCTCTTAGGATCGACATCCTAGCCATGATAACGTACTTGCGATCCAATGTTGGATAATAACAACAATTTTGGAGACTAAAAAGAGATCATCCGTTAGATCTCTCCATTCGTTCCAATTGAACTCAACCTAAGTTGTGTAATATAATTTTCTTTTTAAAAAAAAAAAAAAATTTTTTTTAAGTACTACATATTAATTGATGGCACACACTTTAAAACTTTTATTTTTGTGGAAAGGAAACAAATTTAGAAAACTTAAAACAAGTTATAATATTTATAAAAAAAAATTTTGAACATTTTAGTACATTTATTTTTAAAGGCAATACATTTTAAAATAATTTCCAAATTAATATAAACAATCATTTATATTTTGTTTCTAAACAAACAAAAAAAAATATCATTATCACGTTTGCATTCCGAATATTATTTACAAAAAAATATATTTTCAAAAAATATTTTTCAAAGGGGTTTTCTAACAAAATTTTAAGTTATCTCTTACTTTTTCTTCTGGTTTTGAAACTGTAAACAGTTTGAAGTTTTCCGTACAACAAAAGCAAGAATAGTAATTTCTTAATAAAATATTTTTTCTCACAAAAAAATTATAAAAGAAATTTCTATTGTGCTTTTAAATTTTTTTTTGTAGTTTTTTTTTGGAAAACTTGAAAAGGTCTACAGTTTTCTGGTTACATTTACAAGAAATAAGTCAAAATAAAATTACATTGGTTTTTTGCAGTGCTAAGCAAAATCAATGAAAATTTCCCTGCACTTAAATAAAGAATAAAAATATATTTTTAGTAAAAAAAAGCTGAATTACTTGTCGTGAGAAAACTGAAACAAATTATATTTATATGGAAATAGTTAAAAATTCATTCAAAATTTCAGATTAAGCGTAAAATTTTGAACAAATTCTGAATTTTTTTCAATTTCAAAACAATAAAACTTACAGTTCGCTCAAGAGAAGTAGTTCAAAATAAATATTTTTAAAAAATTTAAGTTTTAAATATTTTTAAAATTTTTAAAAATCATTATTTTTTGAAAAAAATTGATTGCACAAAAATAAATATTTTGATATTTTGTTTTTCCTGTTTTACATTTTAATATGTTTTGCTAACGCTAAAATTTTTCGAAAGAGTTGGGAAAAGCAATGCACAAAACATTTCAATTTCATCTTGAATTTTTTTTTTTTTTTTTTTTTTTTTTTTTTTTTTTGTAATACTAAATTTTCGGAAGTATTTTTTATAAAACACAATAAATAACTAGTTATCAAAAAGCTAGTGACGAAATTTGAAAATTTTTTCATCAAAAAGTAATAATATAAGAAATATGAAGCAACGTATATTTTAAAAATAAAAAGCAACTTCCAAAAATTAGTTTAAATTGCAAAATATGAAGCATAAAAATTACAAAAAGCAATATTTTTCTAAAATTATAAAATATTTTTTAAACTTTTGAAAGAAAATCTGATTAAAAATTGTCGAAAAATTTTTTATATAACACATTTTTTTAAATTAATTTGTATTAATAATAGATCAACATAAAACACTCAAATTTAAAAAAATGGTTAAAAGAAATTTTTAAAAATTTACTTTTAAAAAAATAATTTAATTTTAAAATTTTCAAAACACGAAACAACGCAAATTTTAAAAATAATAACTTTAGTTTGCAAAACATGAAGCATAAGAATTACAAAAAGCAATATTTTTCTAAAATTA